TAGTAACTGTTTCGATCTAACTGATCGAGTTATTAATATTAATTTGAAAGAATAGCAAAACAGAAAAGATACAAAAATAATGTGCAAAAGCATGCGAAGAGAGAGGAATGAAGACTTAATGGTTAGTCATGCTCGTAAAGTAAAGTCGTTGACCAATTCTTTTGCAGAAAGAAGAAAAAGTAAATAACATTAAAATCGCATAAACCAGCAATTACCGATCGTTGCAGATATGCTAATGGCATTTGTTTAGAAAGATTTCAGGAGAAAAGGAAATTAATATATCGCAGAAACAGAAATGAGTGTTCTTAACCACAACGTTATCTGAGCACACAGTTGGAATAACATTTGGATGTACATATAACAGTACAAGAAGAAGAAGAGAAGTACAAGAATCCAGCTGAATGTTAAGCAAATATTCGCTATATAAATATGCAGTGAGTACATAACAATTCATGCAGTCGAGAACTTACAATCTTCCTTGTAAGAACAGCGGATTTAAGCGCGGATTTAAAATTGTTCAACAAAATCAATATGAGAATTTCAATAGGTTTGCTGTTCATTGTATTCGCGTTGTGTATGGAATTATCAACAGGTTTACTATTACCGTTCATAAAATCTTTGAAAGGTTATCATAATTATGGTCATCGTTATGCAGGTGGTTTTGGAGCTTATGGCTATGGTGGCGGTTATGGTGGCTCGCGTCGTTCCTATGGCGGTGGAAGACGTACTGGCAGAACATACAGCGATATAGCACGAGTTATTAATCCAAATCCTTATGCATTCGTTGGACGTAGTCCTTATCCAGGACAGCCATTTTGGCCCCAAGGCTAAATCGAAAAAAATTAATATAATTTTGTGTAAATGTTTAAATTTTATTTTGTGTGAGTGCGTAAGAAATTCTAAAATAGTTACATAAATGAAAAAAATTAGTTAAGTTAATGTAAATAAAAAATAAAAAAGAATTTATAGTTAAATATAAAAAAAAATAATTTTAAATGAAATATTATTAAATTAAATGAATTATTATTAAATAAAATGAATTCTTAAATTATTTGTTATTTACTCCATGAATTGATTTTTCCAGTTAAAATTTTTTTAAATGAAAAAAAGACAGTTCAAGTGGTTCTACAGAATGCATTCTGTAAAAATTAAAATACATTATTTTTTTGTGTATTATTTAAGTTTTCACAATATGGTAATTATATGAAGGTCGGTAGTTTCTGCGAGTTACTGTGAAAAATTGGATAGTTGGTTTTTTAAACCAAAAAGTTTGCAGCAATATTATGCAATACAAATTTTTAAAGTGCTATAATAAAAAAATATTTCTTTATAAAAATAAATCAAATTGTGGTACTTGTGATTATAAAGTTACTGGATTTGAATAGTCCCAATATACTAGATTATATTAATATATATACATCATTTTTAAATTTGATTAGCGTAGGATATTCACACTTCTAGGCTGTGGTTCGTAATTTAGAATTGTTCGTCCTGTCTCATAAGAAAGTCTTCTTCATCAAGTTATTCTTTATATACCTTTCGATCTCATATCTTAAGGATTACATTCCAGCATTGCATGGTTTGTACATAAATTCTCAATGATTAAAAAGTCAATTTTGAATTATATTTTTTGGCTTGATATTAAACTATTTTTAACATATCGTATAATGAATATAATAGCATTGCTAGAGTGTAATATGCTACGTTAGTTAATTATAGAGAAAATTTAAATTTACTTAACTTAATATACTATACGAATATATGCATTAAACAATAACTAATTTTCCAAAAAAATTACAAAAGTTTGCTTAGCAAAAAATGTTTTACAGAGAAATATTGCAAATCATAGTGAATAATCTTTTCAATAAAAGATAATTAAACCAAAGTAATTTAAGAATAATTTATAGTAATAATAAATTAAATAAAAGTATTAAATTAAATAAATTTAAATACTAAAAAAATATATTTAGTACTAATATATAGTATAGTACGTTCGAAAGTAAGTAAGATATGTTAAAAATAGATACCTGTAGTGTGGCCATCGATTAGCTATAACAAGCTATAACTATAGACCTTATGTATCTTTTATCTGTAGACCTTATTATTAACCAACAAGTCCACCAGATTTGAAATAGTGTGATTTTTACCTTTTCATTAAAATGCCAATAAAGACGAAGTAAACTGGACAAACCACAGTATTAAGTTAGAGAAGGACTATTTTGAATAATATAAATAAGTTTCACAAAACTTTTTTTTGATTTTGTTTATAAAAAGCAAATTTATATAAATGTATTTTATATAAATATTATTAATAAATAATACATCAAACTAAGTTAAAAGTAAAAAAACTTTTACGAAAAATACAGTTAAGTTTTTTAATTGACATAATCTTCTAACTCATTTATGGGCCGATACATAATCAGTATCATGCCTTGCAACTAAGAGTATTGCTTACTATATATACGTTTTAATTTATTATATAAAGTATTAAGATTTTTATTAGAATTTTCAAGTGTACTTCTTATTAGTCAACCTAAAATATTTATTAAAATCCTTTTTAGTTTGCCTACGTACAGCTATATCTTCAAATAACATTGACAACACAAGATAGGTATATTTTAGTAGATCTTGTAAAACTAAACGTCTTGCAGAGCGTACACACTAATAAAAAAAATTTTTGTCTGCTCTGGCATGATTCGGTCACACCACCAGTAAGCTATATCTTTCTCGTTTTGATATTTATAAGTGCTTTAAGGTTTAATAGAAACCATTGAAACCATTTCCATTTTTGGAGATGATACTTTTCAGATATTTATATCCTGAACCAGTTAGAGTTTTATAATTTGATATTTGTCATAAAATTATTTACTGAAGCAAAAACAACTTCTTGTGATTAATGATAATTTCCAAAAATGAAAACAAATGAAATATTCCCCATAAAATGATGAATAAGATTCACTTTTTATTTTTAAATTAATTTAATAGTCTTCAAAATATATATCAACATTTCTTTAAATAAATTTGTAAAAAAATTTACAGTTTTATTTTATTAGATAAATTTTAATGTCATAATTGCGCATGATTATAGTTAATAAAATATTTTCTGTAAATAAGCCTAGGCATTTGAATATATAAGAGAGGTGTGAAATCTGTGTACATGAGTTGAATAAATTAATTTGAAATAAAGTTAAGATTATCTATTTAACTACTCGTAAATCTTGTTATATTTTAGAGATATAAAATAAAATAAATATAAAATCGGTATTTTTGTGAGCATTTAAGACTTATAGTAAATTAAGATGTTTATGTATGCATATGTATATAAATTAATAATATATTAAGCTATTATATAATGAATAAAATATTACAATACACATACAATATATTACATGTATTATACATTATACATATATAATATTGATTATATATATATACAATGACGTGTTGCATTAACTTCATATACCTTCAGCTAAAAAAGTACTCGGATTTTGTAAATAAAACACACAAATTTATATTTTATTTCATCTCCTTCAAAATAAGCTCCTTCTGAAGCGATACACATTGGTATGTCAACGCTTAACCCAATCTTCCATACACTTTTCGTAGGCCCGTGCAGGTATGGCTTTTAGTTTCTTCGGCGAATTATCTTTTACCGATTCAATCGACTCAAAACGCTTACCACGAAGTGGCAATTTGAGTTCGGGAACAGGAAAAGGTCGCACGGCGCTAGATCTGGCGAATATGGTGCCTTAGCGATAACAGTGGTGCCGTGTTTGGTCAAAAAATCGCGTACAACAAGAATTTTCCATAGTAAAAATTGCTAAATGCGCTTGAGGTAGTCTCATATTAACAGCTAGTTTAAACAAACTAATTGACAGATGGCGCTTAAATTTGTACCATATATCAAGAAAGGGTGTACCAACATAATAAAAAAGGTCCAACGTTATAAAAAATTTTTAAAAAAGGTTTATTACTTAAGGAGTAGTTATCAAACAATAAAATCCGGGTACTTTTTGAACAAAAGGTATGTAAATCCATTTCTTTTTAACTTTTAATAAATCTTTCTGTCATAATCAATAATTTATATTATATATAAAGTTAAAATCTCATAAAGAAATGGATATATATATATAAAGTTAAAGCAACATAAATTTTAAAAGAGATATATTAGCAATTG